AAAGATCCCCCCCCCCCCCCAAGATATGGGCTTTAACCCTTTTGCTGCCAAGGCATTTTTTTTCCACGCACATTATAATCCACATTTTAGACCTGGAAATTACTTAACAGCCCCCAAGAGTTAGATGTAGAATAAAATGGCAGCAGCTGCAAATTTTTACATTGTGTGATATTAGCGCAACTCTTTATAAAACACAACATTTCAGTAAAAACTACACTTAAGTTAATTTTAGTGCACAAAAACACAAGATGATGCACATTTTGCTGGTAACATGTAAAAGACGAGGTTATGCTGAGTGAATAGATACCCAACATGCCAAGCTTAAAAATTGCGTGCGCCTGTGAAACGGCAACAACATACGGTACCACAAATTGTTAATGCTTTAAAAGCCCATAGAGGTCATCAGTATAGATATTGGCCCTACAATTATTGCCCTCACTTTGGTGCATGTGGTGATACCTGACATGTCTAGCATGATCGTTGTTTTCATACGTAGGCCCACTCCATGCGTGTTTACGTATGTTTGTGGGGGCGGGGGACTTTGACTTTTTTTTATTTTTAGGTTATTTTTTTAAAACAAGGTTCTCTTTAAAGTGACATTAGGGGTCTACGAGACCCCTAGTGCCACCTCACCAGTGCAAAGAAGCTACTCAAGCGCAGATTGCGCTTGAATAACTTCTTCCCCATCTTCTCTAGCTGAGGAACCTGAAATGATCCAATCAGCATCGTTTCCAGCTCCATTCAGCAGGGTGTTCGCCGGTCTCTCTCCTCGACACCTGTGATGCTGTTCCTGGGCCCGCAGGTGGGGCAGTGGAGCCTGGGAAGCAAGGTGGGGGCGTTGGGTGTGTGGGCACTTTTCACTGGCCTTTGGAAACAATCTGGCAGCAGCTGAGCCGCAAGAATTGCTTATAGTGTAAAGCTGACCATTATGACATATGGCATAAGTTGGCAGCTAAAGGGTTGACATACCTTTGCATATATATATAGTGTAAAATAAAAAACATAAAAGCAACTCAGGCTGCACTACTCATCTCCACCACTAGATGTCCTCAGTCTTCCGGGCTGAATGCTGCCCAGTGTCACTCAACTTAGAAGCCTCACCACATACTGAGAGCGCAGAGTGCCATGGGGCCGTTATCATATTGCCCCGCAACCCGGGTGCCACCATTGGAGGGTTGACACCACCATGGCTCCTGTGAAGAAGGGCAACCCCCTGTACTGCAAGGGTTAAAGTGACATTAAAGTCTCCTCTTTTTCCCCCCATTCTATTCTACTTTAAGGACTTACCTTAAATGATGCCTCTTGATCCGATCATCTTTTTCCTTCCACTTGTTTTTAGCTGTCCCTTCAGTGCTGGTGCCGGTCTCGGATCCAGCGCTGACTGCTGTTGCTTCCTGTCCCACAGAGTCTGTGCGGGTGCAAAAATTGGTTGGCTAGTATGGCTAACGAGTGATTTCCGAAATCGACATTTGACTATGGCTGATAGGGAAGTCTAGGTATAATCGAACAAGGGTTCATGCCAGAAACAAAAATCGTACAATGTATGGCCACCTTCAATCTAAATCTAAAGTCCTGCTTATCCCTCAAGCAAAAATGTTTACAGGTCCATTATTCAAGGAAATGAGCTATCATTTCTTCTGTAGCATACAATGAAACCCATTTGATTAAGCTGAATATTATCATAGTGCAGAAACATTTCTTAATTAAGCAAAGTCCTTCAGGGGAACGTGTTGTTGTGACTGTAATTAAAGATAAAGTGCTAAGTGGTCTCTGGACAGTTAATTGTTAGGCAGCAGCAAAGATAAACTCCGAGTTCCCGAGAGCTTTTTCTGTTTTTCATGTCCTACTGCAGGGCTCAAAATTTCAGGTCCTGAGCTACTAGCCAGGCCTTCAAAGTTACTCGCCACCAGTTGCCCTGCATAACACAAACAAACACACACACACAGGGCACAACGCACACACAGCACAACACACATACAGCCACAGCACAACGCACAGGGCATTATCTACTGTATATTTTTTAAGGGCCATTTTCACTAAATGATCATGTGACATCCCCTCCCACACCCTGCACCCCCTAACCTCTGTATAGAAAACCCAATATCACCTGCCACTGTCCAGTTGGAGAATGTGCCGAAGCAAGAGATACAGTCACGAGTAGAGATTGGCAAAACGGTTCATCTGCATGAGCGCTCCTCAACTGATCGCTCACTGAAGAGATTCGGATCTTTTAAATGGCTCATGGTTCACTGAACCGCTCTTTTTACACCCTCCCCACCCCCCACTATAATGCATTGCTGGGACTTGTAGTCCTACATAGTTGAAGCTATTCTGCATTGCTGTATAATCATCATACAGCAATGCACAATACCACCAGCTGTGCGGGACTACAAGTCCCAGCAATACATTATAATAAAAGTCAACTATGCAAAATACCACCAGCAACCCCACTCCCTCCTATAATGCATTGCTGGAACTTGTAGTCCTACATAGTTGCTGCTATTCTGCATTGCTGTATAATCATCATAATACCGAGTTTCCCCGAAAATAAGACACTGTCTTATATTTTTTTGGGCTCAAAAAAACACACTGGGTCTTATTTTCGGCTTAGGTCTTATTTTTTTTATGTACAACAATCAACACTTATTCATGTAAAAAAATGTGGTGATCAGGGCAATCAGGGGTGCCGTACCTTTCCAAGTGCAATTTGTTAATCAATCGCTGGCCAGAATAAGCGAAGTGCACTTTCACTATCGATTCCTCACAGGCGGAGTGCATTTGGTATCACTCCACCTGTGACAGGAGCCGGCGCTATAGAGGAGGCATCGGCTTATGCGGCTCTGCTCCCTCCGGTGCCGCCTTGCTTCCTCTAGCGCTGGCATGCGTTGGCAACGCTGATTCTCTGCCGCGGCTCTTCAAGTTCCCCCTATTTGCCACCACCGGCCCTGGGAATGGTCACAACTAGGTCTTATTTTCGTGGTAGGTCTTATATTTTAGCAATTCCCAAAACTAGTACTAGGTCTTATTTTCAGGGTAGGTCTTATTTTCGGGGAAACAGGGTATATCATCAAAATACCACCAGCTATGCGAGACTACAAGTCTTAGCAATGCATTATAATAAAAGTGAGCACTATATCACCAGCATCCCCCTGCCCACACACTCCCGCTTCCCCTGCTACACTCATTATTATAATTCACATGAATTTACTTACCTTTAAAACAGCAGCACAATTCATAAGACAGAGAAATGCTGTAGTGTAGAATGAGTGAACCTCTCTGAGCAGAAGGTGCGAGGAGCGGAAGAACTATATAATTCCTGATCCATCGAGAGCCAGATTCAAAGATGCAAAGGAGCGAAAGAACCAAATCATTCCTGAGTCTGTCTGACTCTTGAGATCCGTCTCTTGGGCTCACAGATCCGTCTCTGTTGGTTCACAGATGTGATTGGTTGCAGGGGTGGGGTGGGAGGGGCTGGCAGAAGCCTGGCTCTCACTCTAAGATCATATTACAAGAGCCGCTCAGACGAGAGCCGCTCGCACTCACGCTCTTGTCTCACTCTCTGCTTCTACATTCCATCCACAGAGCACACAGACCAGAAGAACCGGCGCTCATTTTTACTGAGCCACCGCTCTTTCATTCCGCTCAATAGATCCGGATCGCTCATGAGCGATCCATCTCTAGTCACGAGTGCAAAAGGTTCAGCTATCGTTAGGCCAGCGGTGGACAAATGTACAGTATATGGAATCCAGGAGCCAACAGGACTTTTTAGGAGCCAGCTCCATTGACAGCACCAGAGAAAACCTCAGAAGTTAGGTTCCAGCTGTAATTTGTAATCAGTATTGGCTACCTGGCTCCTGGGATTTGTCCAGCCTTGCGTTAGGCCATTGAGATCAGGGTGCCCAGATATGAGCCATGACTGCTCCCCCCCACCTATGTCCCAGTGTGCACAACAATCATTCACTACAAGAACCAACATTTCACTTCCTTTCACATCATTTTTCTATTATCTGCTGCTTTATCCTCATGTTAGGCTTATTGAAATTCAATGTATGAAATAGATTTGTTGAAGATGATTCACTAAGATTTGAGAGATGCCCTTTTCACATTTTGCATTAAAGCCTTTTAGCTTCCATTTATGCATTTAAATGCCGTGTCCACATCTTTAGAAGCTTTACCATCGATTCTTACAGAACGGTAGGCAATAGTTTGATTGGTGCGCATTTGTTGTATTATGCTTGCACAGGCTTTATATCTCTCTCTTTTCTCCCAAAAATGTTTAAATCACATTTGTTGCGGTGTCAATGTAAGTATTTTTATAGACAGCTGTTTAATAATGAATCTAGATCAAACAAATATACATTGCCCAGCAAAGCATTGCTTTACATTTTTGCCCGAGCACTTGCAGTCATCATGTTTCTAAAAGAGCTGCTTTCAAGTCTCTCAGTTCAGCTTCCCTGAACTTCTTGTCCAGTACAAGATCACAAAGGATAGTGCAGACGCTTAAAGAGGGGGCCATGGGGAAGGGAAGTAGCTTTATTTACTGTGTTTTTGGAGGCACGCAGCTCACTAGCACACACAAGGGTGACCCCATAGCACTCTGCTTGGGAAAGGAGCCACCCTATACCAGGAAGTCAGGCCCAGTGCTCAGGGGACCAGATGATTCTGCAGGAAACTAAAACTTTTTTAAACTTTAAGTTTTTATTTCGTTTAAGTGCATATATAGCATCACATTTTACTCTCAGAATATCAACAAGCAGATACATCAACACATATCATATCCATCAGGAAACTAAAACTTTTAAACATCAAGGAGCAGCATCCATTGTAAGTGATTTCATCAGCATTTAGAATAACTTAAAATCCTTTTAACTTTAATATCATGATGATCCTGACTTAGCAGACTTTGATGGTAAGATAATGATGGCATGGCATGCCGTGCTTCCAGCTAACAGGAGCCGCTTGTATTCCCTCGGATGAGGGATAAGGCAACATTTGGGGGCATATATACTATTAAGGTGCCCATACACCTTACGACCAAGACTTTTGTCTTGCGATGGTCGTATGCTTATTGAAAGCTCGTACGATCTGCCCACCCATCGTACTTGCGATCATCGAAAGCCCGCCCCGCTGAGGGGCGGGCTTCCGATGACCGCAATGCAGAATGGGCAGTGTGCGCGTGCGCAGCTATCGGACGAGCAGGCTAGAAACCCGCCAACAATCGTACAATTCTCGGCGGGTTTTCGAGCATGTTGGTTCGACAAAAGACCGTACAGTAGAAACGGTCGCACGTCTTCGTTCACACTGCTCGATTCTCGTACGATCGTGGGATTTCGCCCGATTCTCGTACGAGAATCGAGCAGTGTATGGGCACCTTTAGATTGCTTTGGGACTTCATTATACAGCAGCAATTAACCATAGATATTTGACCATAGCTCCCAGCTGTCCCTCATTTGGAACCAAATCCCTCTGTCTGTCTTTCCTCCTTAGTTGTCCCTCTTTTTGGTCTGATTTATAGATATCTATAAAAAGGTTTTATTTAACTTCCAAAATTGTTATTTTTGTTATTGTGTCATCTGCCACAATGCTCCCTCCTGCCTGTCCTAATTGCCTAACTGCCTGTCCTTGGCGTCCTAATGTCCCTTAGAACGCTGCAGGAGGGGGGTTAAGCGCGTCAGGAAGAAGGGGGTCTAAGAATTAGCCTCCTCCAAGGTTCAGCCTAGCACCTAGACACAAATGAGCAGTTAAACTTTGCAATGCAGGGATTATAAAAATGTTGCCTGGAGTTCTTCTTTAAGCCCTGGTTCACACCTAGGCGTTTATGCGCATTGTGCACATTTTGTATGCGCGTTTGAACGCGCGTACATGAAGGCGCGCATTTTGATTGGCAGCTCATAAACCATTGTGGTCAATGGAAGATCGCGCGCATAAACGCACAAAAACGCTCACGAAAATGTGCAACATGCTTCTGTTGCGCGTTTTTGGGCATTTCCAATTAAGTCTATGGGGAGGAAAAGAGCTTTTAACTGCCTAGGTGTGAACCAGGGCTTAGTGAATACTATATTTGCATTTAAGTAAATAACTATGATTTTGAGTCACATAGTTACATAGTTAGTCAGGTTGAAAAAAGACACATGTCCATCGAGAGTCTTTGTTTTTTGTAAAGTTTACAGATTGTGAATAGTTTTATACAGTATTTTTTATACAGGATTTTCCTCGGACAGGAAATCCTTTTCAATGGAGGGTATGCTAGCAGGTATTGTTTGGGGGTTGCACACTAATAAAGTGCACCTCTGACAATGGTGTCACAAAGCATTCTGGGTTTTTCATAGAGAGAGGACATTAGTAGCTTTCTTTTTTTAGAATGTAGGAATTGTATTTTTTGGACCGAAGCGTATTACATAAACATATATGAAGTCAATTGAGAGTCGTTATCAGCGTATTTCTATCTAGCTAGTGACCTGTCCTTGTTTCTTCACTTCCTGTTATATGGTGACAATGATCTGTCTCCCAGTTGTTGACACCCTGTCACATATTCTCTCAATGGGGACTACACGTGACAGTGCCAACACCGATTACACAGGCAAGATCTACTGTTGTCGCCATCACGAAACGCCCTTAGAAATAACATGCAGCCATCACTAGAGTGCATATAGAAAGGAAAAGGCTGCAAAGAGGCTGTAGGCAATTAGCAGCACTGATATGCAACAATACATGGGGAAAATACATATTTTCTTTTTATAAAATGTCAATTGTTTTAATTCACATTGCTTTAGAAAACTAAATTATTCAGTTAGGGTTTACATGTGCTTTAAAGAGGAACTCTGGGCAGAGCGGTTATAGCCCCAAGTTAAAGGGTTATTAAACCCTTGCATGTTTTTGCATATTTCTACTGCTAGCAAGCAGTAGAAATATGCAAAACGATTAACAAAAAAAAAAAACCTTTTCAAAGGGTTAATACTTACCTGTGTAACAGGTAAGTATTAACATCTGAAAATTTCTTGGGCGGCCGCAAAGGATCTTGGGGCGGGCGCATGCACAGTTCAGATTTTCGGCCGGGAGACGAGGAGAGACACAAGGTAAGTCTATGGAGCAGCGGGCACCCGCACAGACTCCGTGGGACATGAGAGAAGAGGAGGACAGAGGAGTCGGCGCTGGATCGGAGACCTGCACCAGCGCTGGAGGGATAGCTAAAAATGACAGGAAAGAAGAAGATGATCAGATTAAGAGGCATCATTTAAGGTAAGTCCTTACTTTAGCACTGTGGGGGGACGGGGACTTTTGCCCTTAATGTCACTTTAAGTGCTTGTTTTGTCTGGGGGACTCACCTGATCCTTAGTCCTGTGGTGGTCAGCGTTCACCTCTCTCCCGCTTCACTCCATCCATGGAATGCCCCTCAGTGTCCTCACGTCTAATGCCTGTCAATGGACCTGCATAAGACATGATGACGTCAGTGGTGCTTGGACCACTGGAGTCCAGGGGAGAAGAAGCTTTGGGGGTCGGTCTAGCAGCCCGGAGGAAGCCAGGATCGGGTAAGTAAATCTGCTTTATTTCAGTCCCTGGACCAAAACAAGCACTTAGCCTTGCGGAGGTAGCTCCACTGCAAGGGTACGTTTTTTTTAATTTTTCCTGAGTTCTTCTTTAAATGCAGGTGACTGCATGCACTGCAGCTCCTTATTTCATTGCACTGACGACTGACTTGTTTTTAGTTCTGGACAGATTCCAGCACCCCTGGCATGGTTGTGACAGGGAAAGCTTCTTTGCTAGCAGGGCTTCTTTTGTCCCCATCCTGAGTTTTCTGTGTATTCCTGTAGAGAATCTGCTTTTGAGCAAACAGTACAATATTTATGTGCCTTCTCCTTAAGAATATATGGATACTGATGAAGACTGGTGACACAGCAGCTCTTCACAAAATCTCAAGATGTGACTATAATAGTCAGACTGTGGATGTGGATCTCCATACTAAGTCTAGGACAGTACAAAAAGGTGCATACAAAAATGTTTTCTGGGTGGAGTTGCTCTATAATTAGGCAAATGTAACTACATAGATGTACATGCATTTGTGAGAAACACATTTTACAATAATTATCTTCTACAGTCTTTTCAGTGAAATACAACATACGTCTACAGCTGCTCAGAACCAAACTGTACAACAAAGAGCAAAAACTGCTGTGGTGACAACCAGGAATCAGGCACTGTCCCCCACTGATTTCATTGGAGAGTCTGAAGAAGAAAGGCAAAGTCCCCCAGAATGGCTGGAGAAAGAGATCTTAAGAAGACACCAGAGAAGATATTCACTGGGACTTGTGGACAGCATTATGGAGAGTTTACAGAATCAGTGTGACCCAGCTAGGAGCCTCAGGAAGGAAAAGGTAAGTCAACTTTGAAGTTTTTGCTTTCCTCCCTGCTGATTCCGGTTGGGGTGACCAGTCCCATGAAGCTGCTCTTCTTACTGGTCTCCAGCCAGAATAGTCACCACACATCTCTCTGGCGTCATCATGTACAATGCAGGACCAGCAGCCACATCCCATCCTGATGACATGGCTGTTGGTCTTGCATTGTATTTAAAGATGTAGAAGTGCTTGTCTGCATTTCAGTGCTGGAGAGAAGAGGACTGTACCACTAATTATCGCAGGGCCACAAATTAAGGTAAGCATTACTCTGTGCTAGCACATCTCCTAGACAAATCGAGCACTAGATCTTTCATCATTTAGGGGGGAAGCGACTTAAATTATATCTTTACCCTGCCCAGAGTGTAAATAAAGTAAGAAAGGACATTGTGTCAACTTCACATTTTGATGACTTGTAGTTTTTCTGGTCATCTCTGTACAGTAAGATGAAAGGGCACCTTTATGGATGACAAATTTCTTGGAGAATACACAACCCAGATGGATGAAACAATTCACAATATTAAATACAGTACAACTCAGAGCTCTTGTAAGATGGTCTAAAGAAGTCCCAAATCCAGTTAATATGTGATGCACAACGCTCATAAAGTAAACAAACTCTTCCTTTACCCTACCCTACAGACTGAGCCAAATCCTCCTTCATTTATCCCTCACATCTCCCTCTCTGAGACACTGCAGCTCATAGTGGGAGGGTTTCAGTAGCAGAGGCAGTCATCATAGACATCAGTAGGCAGGACTAGGTGTGGCCAGATGCTGAGTGACAAGCTACAGGTTTGGGAACCAGCAGTGACAATGGCCTCATTCCCTGCAACATCTTCTCCACCCACTGTAGTACCAACCTTTACAGCCTACATGAGAGTGGAAACTCTGCTCTGAATTCAGAAGCGGTGAAATATTTGCCACCCCACCACAGGACTGCATTAGGTGGACATTACTGGCAGGATCAAAAGGTATTTGTGGGACTTTGCAGGAGGACTAAGAGAAAACTGTAAACTGCAGACACACTTAGTATAATTAAGTGCTGCAGCATTTTGCAAATGGGAGACCATTGTTGTACTTTAAAGTAGAATTAAACCTTAGTTTTTTTTTTTTGCATATATCTACTGCTAGCAGTAGATATATGCAAAAACATAAATAAAAAAGTTACCAAATAGGTAATTGCCTACCTGTGTCTCCGACGCTCCCTCCCGTCTGAAGATCTGAAGATTCTCGAGCGGCCGTGAAGGATCATGGGGTGGGCACATGCGCAATAGAGATATTCGGCCGGGAAAAGAGGAGAGACTCAGTATAAGTCAATGCACGCAACCGGCAGCGTGCACGTGAACAGTCACCTGAGGAGTCTGAGCTCACCACCCTTACATTGGTGGTCAGTGTAGAAGTGACTCTTTACATTGGTGGTCAGTATATACATACCGGTAGTCATTGTAGGCAGGAGATCAATCTGCCTTCGATAAATACCGCGCGATAAATCGCTCAGTGTGAACGGGGCCTTAGGGCTCATGCACACAGGCATATTAAAATACTCCTATTTACCTCGGATCTGTCTGCCAGAAGCTGGCAGAAAAATCCAGCGTAAAAAAAGGTGAATGGAGGCCTTGGCTAAAACAGAGCTTGTGGTCAGAGGCATAAAAAATGCTTCTAAAAGCAGCGTTTTTTTCTGGCCATGTGGGAGGCCTACGACTAATTTACTAAAGGATTAGAGGCATTTTGCAAAGTGTATGTTGACCTAAATTAATAAACAGGATGAAGATGTGTTCTCTTTGAATACTCAATGATGTACAAGTGAAGTTAAAGAAAACAAAACAGGACTATTTCTCGCACATGATTAAATGATAAAGTGAACACAGCTTCACCTTAGTCACTAAGTTAAGTGAACATGAACTTTTCAAAGTGAACATGCTCTATTCTTTTAGTAGTCAATCCCTAATATCTTGACCTAAAATAGCTAACATTTCTGTCAGGGACCTGAGCGCCTCTGGGTGGCACTGTGACGCTGGAACCAGGCCCTGCAGTTCCAGTGCTCACCTGCGGGTGTCCCAGCAATTAGCAGTTAGTTGCCACCTGGTGCTGATCTTGGAGGGTATTTAACCACTTCAAGACCAGGTGTTTACACCCCCTTCCTGGCCAGGCCATTGTTCAGTATTCAGCACTGCGGTACTTTGACTGAAGTTTATTCTGTCATGCAAAGCTGTACTGAAATTAATTTTATACCATTTTTTGGGGACAGATAGAGCTTTCTTTTGGTGGTATTTAAACACCACTACGGTTTTTTATTTTTTACTATAATTAGGAAAAATTACAGAAAATTTTGAAAAACATAAGGTTTTTTTTAACATTATGTTAGGAAACATTTATTATTACCCAGTTTTTTGGTAAAAATATATAAGATCGGGTCACGTCGGGTAAATAGACACCAAACATGTCAAGCTTTAAAATTGCGCGCACCCGCGAAATCGCAGAAAACTACCATACCCAAAATTGGCCATAGGCGACACTTTAAACGCTTTTACCGCTCATCAGTTTAGCGTTATCAGTGATTGATGGCCCTAGAATTATCGTTCTCACTGCGACGTTCGCGGCGATATGTAACACGTGGGCGCAATCGTCTTTTTTGCACGTATGCGCCCCCGACGCATGTTTGCATGCGTGTATGTATGGGTGGGGGACTTTAATTTTTTTTAAATTCTTTTTTATGTGTAACTTTAAATTTGGGGGGGGAACTTTTTTTCCCCACTAAACCTTATTGCTATCACATACGGGGGCTAATAAAACCCCCGATGTGATAGCAAAATATGTGACAGGTCCTCTTTATGGAGACATCAGGGGTCTCCAAGACCCCTAATGTCACCTAGGACCCCCCAAAAGAAGCTGATGAAGCACAGATCTGCTCCATCAGCTTCTTTCCAGCTTCTGAAGCTGGAGAGTGACACAAGAATGCGGAAGTGATGTATTATACAACACTTCCGCATTCTTGCAG